TTAATTGTCCAATTTTATCGAAAGATTATCTCATATTTCTACATTTTTTTCAAATCACTGATCGATTATAAAGTTTAACTTATGAAGCCTCCTCGTAACGTTGCGATTGAAAGGAGTTGAAATTACGACAAATCACGTTACATCGTCGTGCAACTATGTATCGCTATCGTGTTCAGCACCGTGTACGTGTTTTAAAAACGACAGGCAGCCATAACTGGTCGTAATGGTTCGCTAATTGATAGGTTGAAGAGGGTTACTGCGTTTTCTAAAGAAAGCCATTCGGCGTACGACGAAGTCATCGCTGCGGTAAATTGCAATGGCGATTTCTTCCGATGTCGCACACTTCGTGAATCTCGAATAGGTGGAAACACAGTTCTCGTTTCCCTTTTCTTTTTTTTTTTTTTTTCTATGGGATTCCGCGATAGTTGCACAGTCGGGAACTTCGCGATATACGCAGAATAATTGCCCTACAATGTAGTAAGCCAACGAAAAGTGACGTGATCGCGCAATCGTATCGTTTAACGTGTTGCGACTTGCGTGTATGTATGTAAAAAAATTATAATGGAAATTCAGGTAGGTACGCGCAATGTGTGATTTAATTGGCCTATCAATTATTACTATAAATATTCACTTAAAGCGAGCCGCGCAGCGAGCGATAAAAGATATGTATCGTACTTATTTTCATGTGAATTTTAATGCGTTTGCAATAACACCTAGAGAGCTATGCAGATATCAACTTTTCCTCTCTTATATCTAAAATTTATTGAATTTAGTTATCAGAAATGGAAAGCTATCGTGATAAATCGAGAATTAATAATGAACGGAATAATGAATAATTATTCTCATACCTGAAAAAAATTAATTATTTACGAGGAGTAAAGAGGATTAATTATTTTCTCTTTGTTTTATTTTCTACAAATTTTTTAGACCTTTCTAAGATCCTTGTATAAAGAAAGCAGAGTCCTTAGTTTTTATCCTAATGAAATCGTTGAAGAATATCATGGAAATTTCGGAATTTGGAAATTGTAATTACTGACTGCAAAAAAGATGCGTTTTTTGATTTAAAAAAAAAAAACCCACAATGAATATTCTGTCAGTCTTCCTCACAATTCCCATGATTGCCGCAATTTATTTCGCAGGATGTGCACGTGAAGTACCATCCCCGCCAACGCAAGTTATATGCGTTCCCGTAAGTGTAGCTTCATCTCGCTCCGTCCCGTTTTAGTTTGACGCTCATGCAGGTCGCTCGTCCGTACCTATCGCGAAATCCTTTCTACATCCCGGGCAATTTCCCCGAGTGGAAAGTGTTCGCATTTAGCCGTGTTCGCATTTCTTCACGCTGCAAGTACGCGCCTCTCGACTTCCATGACTTCTGACCTAATTATTATTTATTACTCAAATAACGTTGTTGAAAACAATAAACATATTGTTTAAAAAAAATACATCGTTGATTATAAAATTAAAATTTTTATATGACTAAGTGTTAGAGGTGATATAATTATAACGTAATTATAATAATAGTGATAATTATAATAAGACGGGATGTTTCGTCATTTACGCCATTTTCTCGCTTTCTCTGAATGAGATCTATCAGTCTATCAATGTGAAAGGACGATTGGAAAATCAAGCCAACTGCCAAGTCACAACAATGTAATGTTCATTACGTTAGCGGACTTCCCAGAGAGGTTAATAGTCGCCGCTGCTCGTGCAACACTTTGACCTTACCTTATTATGATCTACAATTGTGCACAATGTCGCAACGTTGCGCGTTTTTTTTTCCTTGCACAAAAATGTAATCATCCATTGCCAATCGGCTTACGCGTTAGGAAGCCGCGGGGAAGACACTTAACCGCGTCGATATTCGTTTGGGAGAAGCGTTTCAACAGCGTTTACGCTGTGTTTTGCGGTAATTCATAATTTAAGGCTTGTAAAGACTTACCGGATGCGGCGAACAGGACGAATGGCGCGCTTGGATCGGAAAGTCTCTTGCACAAACGCCGCAGTTGCGTGAAACCGAGAAACGCAGCCGACGAGAAGAATGCACACTTACGAAGTGGAAGTTTTCATTTTTTTCTCGCTTTCTACGTTTCCGTATTAATTATCGTGTTACGAACTAGAATAAAGGTCGGTCAAGGTTTTATCATATCGTATTAATTTATCGTACTAACTAATATGGCATTCTCATTAAACTGTAATATGCGATGTAAAACTTCCGACAGAAATTTACTTCGTACTTATATTATTAAGATTGATTTAAGATTTGATAACGCTTGATTTTAAGAATTAAAAGCTTGCAGGATTTCAAAATTTTATTAAATTTTTACCAGAAAAGAAAGTTAGCTTTAATTGCAGTTTTACAAAAGGTGAAACGTCTTTCCGTTGCATTATTTAATTTTCCGAGTTTTCTAATATTTTTAAATTTAACGTTAATTCATTCGGATATCGGAATAAAAAGAAAGGAATGGAAACGTATAGAATTGAATTAATCCTAATACTTCGTTTCTTGAAATCTTTCCGTTCGTACACGATTTCCATCGTCGGTGAGGTTACAGTGTGATAATATAAACGTGAGTTCACTTTCACTAGTGACCCACGATGTCACGAGCAGGAAGACAAGTTGCATCAACGAATGATGATTGCCGCGGTGGTATTTGTCCAGCTTTCGAAGCCTCGAGAAATATTCGTTTTTTTTTCCATCAAATATTCAAATTTTTCAAGCCTTTTTCGTAAAACGAGAGTACGATTTCTGTTATCAAAACAACGATTATTTAATTCCGACAAAACTACTGACAATTAAATTACGATCTAAAAATATTGATAAATTATCAATATTTATAAATGTAAATTTTTCACATTTATAAGTTAAGAACGATATCTATAATGATATTTGTATAAAATTCTTTGTTCTATTTTCTAATCAAAATGTGCTATCAATTACATGCTATCTATATAGATATATTGTTAGTTAACGCAAAGTATTTATATAAATAATTTTTTAATTATTTAATTACTTAATTTTTTAATTAAATTTATAAATATGATTTAATTAGATATATAATACAAAATATATATATATATATATATATGCATATTTTTAAGTTAATATTTTTGTCTTAACAAATACAATAATGCTCTTGAAAAACATGCATTAAACAAGTTGTAACGTAATTTGTATTCCTTCTTAAAATTATTATTATTTATACAAGATTCGAGATAAGAAAATAATTTTATTTACAGGAATCCGTTGAATCGAAGAATTCTCTGCAAAGTCTCTCTGCACCAGTGAAGAAAGAAGTTGAACCAGATACTAAAGATATGAAAACTCAAGGAGAAGGAGAGAACAACGCGAAAACTGATAACGAGAGTAGCGATCACGATGACGATGATGACGATTACGATGACGATGAATTCCCTCCCGTGCATATCAAACTTCCTCTTCAGTTGGATCTCGACGACATTGCAGGCGTAAATATATAATTTTATATATACTTCTACGAATTCTATTTTTAGCTTGTATTATAAATATTTTAATAATAATTGTCATATAAGAATCTTATTAGTTATGTTAGGATTTCCTTTAACTGTCAATTTGGTAAAGATACCTGAGAACCTTATTTTAAATTTCGATTATTTTCCAGACATTGATCCAACAAGCTCGTAGCAGAGTTTCCTGCGTGGTTGAACGACGACGAGCTGACGAGGTGATGGACGGAACCGGTGACAACGGTTTAGATAACAGTACCGATCCGCAGCGTTTCCAAAGACTAAGCGGCGAACGAGTTGCTATTCTTTGTGAATCAGGCAGTCCAAATCAGGAGTAAGTGACAGCATAAGGAAAATGTATAAAGCAAAGCGCTAAATAATTAATAATTTAAAGTTGTAATTAAGGTTGTCAAGGTCATTGATTAATTAAATTATATTTGATCGATATAATGCCTTGTAACATTGCGTATTATATAAAGTGCAAAGCTAGGACAAAGATACTAAAACAGATTTCTTATTATAAGATTGAGTTAAAAAGAAGACTTAAGGCTTAAACTGAAGACTTGATAAAGATTTGATAAGGAAGCAATGACAATTCCACAATGAGTAAAATTAAATATCCTTATAAACTTATAAATTATCATAGATAAACAATAGAGTAATAACGATTTTGCTATTGTTCTTTTGCAGGCAGCAGGATCAAGAGATGCTCACCCCGATCATCGTGCCCCTAGGTACTGTGCAAATTCCTCTCCAGTCTCAGGAACCTAACCCGGGTTATCATCAATATCAAATACACACCCAGTATCAAGTTCCCGACATGCAACAATTACCACTCAGCGACCCACGAGGATTGAATCACATCCCGCCGGGTGTACTTCCTCCTGAGCTTCGTAACCTTCCTCAGTTGACTATGGAAATGAGACCGCCTCGAATGGGACCCCAGACGCCCATGATGGGACCTCAGAACAACCCGATGGGACCACAAGTGAGTCTCGTCTTTTAAGAAAATTTAAACAAACTACATATCATCGTAAATTAAAGTTATTCCGTTTATTTTATTAATATTTTTTCTATCGTAACAAATAATTACTTGATATTAACGTTTAGGTCGAGATGCGTCAGATCCCTATCGAATTGCGTCATTTCCCAATGGACCCGATGAGAGGAATGCGACCGATGGCACAGGAGCCTCGCCAAGAACCGCAACAAGTTTCGATGGTATATCAGCAACAGGCCGAGCAAGTTCCTAATAATTATAACCAGGAGCAGCAGGGTCCGGCTATGATGCCACCACCCCCTCCGCAAGCTGAAGCACACCAAGATCCGAGAATACAACAGATATCACCCATGATGATTCCGCAAACCGAACAAAGGCCACCAGCTCCACCTCAAGTTACACCTGAAAAACCGCGCTCTCCCTTCCAGGGCATTCCCATCGAAATCAAGAGAATAATTCAACAAGTACCGCTGGAAATTAAGAATATTATTCAGCACATTACTGGTGAAGCTAGAGCAATCCCGGTCCAGGTACCAGAGGGAGCACGTCGTGAAGTAAGTTAGTTATATAATATATTTTAATTAAAAAAATGATGCTAATTTTTATTTAGAAAAAAATATAAATGCAAATTGTTCAACGTTGTAAACAGGAACTCAAACCATTCCCGGAAGGCGCGAGGCCAATACCATTAGGACCATTCCCACTTCCGGTGGAAGTAAGAAATTTGATTGAGCATGGAAACATCGAAGGACGTCAACATCAAGATGGCGGCGAAGAACAACAGGAAGCGAAAGCTTTCTCTAATTCAGAGGACGAGAGCGATGAAGTAGAAAGAAACTTCCCTATTCCTATGGAAATTCGCAATATAATTCATCAGGTAAAATAATATAAAAAGAGATATATGAATTAATAAAAAAAGTTTTAAATACAAATAATAATAATAATAATAATAATAATAATAATAATAATAATAATACAAATAATAATATACAAGAATTACTTGATTATAAAATATGTTTTACTATATATTTTTTATAATAAATTAAAACGTATATTATATCGTAATTTAAATTAACATATAACATTTATTTACACAACTTTATACAACTTGGATGTTTAAAAGATTCGTAAAAGACGTATGTCCAGATATACATTTTTATTTACAATTTACAATTTTAAATCAATCTTAAATCAATGTAAAATTAAATTATTGTCATTGATTATTAAATATTTATATTATTTATATTATTATTGTATAATTAATTTATATTTATTAATATTTATTTATAAAAATTATAATCAGCGATTGATGTACATTTAACAAGGAAATTGTGCGGTGGCCGAGCGGTCTAAGGCGCCACAGTCTCTTCGGAGGCGTGGGTTCGAATCCCATCGCTCCCAATCTTTTGACCATTTTCTAAAAATAAAATTATAAAAGATTGTTACATAATAGATTCAACCGCCAAGTTGTACACTGGTCTTTCATACGTATACAGGATAGCGTGAATAAGCAATCTGAGGCGCGCGCTAATTTTGAAGCGCGATTTGAGTAATCTTCACAACTCTTTTTTTGTTTTCATCTTGAGGCATAAAATGATTATATATATGTATATGTTAATAATTTTTAAGAAGAATTAGAAATAATTAATTAAGATACTTTTGGGATTTTAGGTTGTAGAGGGTCGTGCTTTCCCGATTCCAAGATTTGCATTTAGGCCAGTCAAATCCATGGAAATACCAGTCGAAGCACATGCTGAAGTGACCGATGGTCAATCTACGGATCAGCAACAACCGGAAAATCGACAACAGGAGCAACACGAAGCGACACATATGATGATGCAGCAACAGCAACAGCAACAGCAACAGCAATCCATACAAGAAGAGGAATCTCGCCCGCATTGTAAGTAAAAAGTTTATTTGTTTCTGAATTTGAGTTACATTTAAGTTATATTTGAGTTACACTTTTATTCTTAATTTATTACTAAAATTAATTAAATAAAATTAATTCTTAATATTAAAATTATGTGTATTTATTATAAACAAAATGACTCAAAATTTTAGAATCTACCTTGAGAAAACCTTAATGCTAAAAAATATATAATAATATAACGAGATGTAAGATTTAAACGAATTAAAAATGTAATAAAAACTTGTTTACAGATGTGCAACCACGCTCCGTGCGCTCCGTACCAGATGATGTTTTCCTACATCGTCGTGAGAAGCGTGTGCGTCGTTGCGCCTGTGATTGCGCGTGCTAAAGGATGCAGCTGGGTGTGTCCATCGGGCGGAAAGAATTTTTAAAGCAGTCGGTCCGAAAAAAAAATTTAAGAATAAAGAATTTTAAAAGAGCGCGCCATCCACGTACACTTTGTCCAAACGTTCGCAACCTTCAGCGCCTTCAGCGAATAAAGTGAAACGCGAGGAAAAAGCTGAAGCTGCTATATTTTCATATCAAAGTTGCAACCCCTCACAAGTACATCGAATTATACTGATTGTATTAAATTGTCCTAATCCAAAGTATTTTTACTATTACAATTATAACAGGTCACAATATCCCTGAATAATTTCCCTGCAGGTTTCCGAAGCGCTTAATAAAAAAGAATTTTGAAATTATATTAACAAACCGCATTTATGGTAAAGTATTAAGTACGAAGCCGATAATATTTTTATTTCGCGCAAAGGATAGATAAGTATTAATCGAAGTATACAGTTGATGATTTGAAATAAGTGTGTTTATCAAGAAAAGAAATCTTGATTTAAAAACAACAATTAATTTCAGAATAGGTTTTTATTGGCCAACAGTACGAGATTAAACATTTATAAGTCTAACAGTAATATATGTCGAGATCCATTTAAACAACAATCTGCGAATTGTTGATTGAAATTAAGCATGAGTGATACTTTTCAAATCAATTAAATTGATTATATTGTTATACTCTTTCGTAGAAAGAAAGAATGCGAAGATAGTTTAGAAATCTGTGATTTTCTTATATAAATCCCTGTGAAAACGTACTTGACACGTAACGCTGCACTCACATGGTTAAAGATAATTAATAATTAAAATTTCTGTATAACAATTATCTTTTATGTTCCGTTATTAACTTTGTACTTTTGTTTATTTTCCTATTACCCCACCACACTCTTAAAAAGAAAATAATAAAGATAGATTCTTTTACGTAGAAAACAATTCAAATTCTTTTTAAGAATATTTTCTAAATCAACGTTTTTAGTTTAATTGATTAGTTACATTTCTGTATATTGTTTGCTCCTATCGAAAATTAATTTTGTGTTTTTTATTGATTTATATTCTTTACGTGTTATATGTTTCCCTTTTTCATGACAAGTAATAAAGTGATATTATATCGATTAGATTTAACTGATATCTTACAATAAATTTAAATGCATGCTTTATAATATATAAATAAATAAAAGTATATTAAATAAATAAAAGTATATTAAAACGTTAAAAAATAAATTTTATTTAAACAAGTTAGAAAATTAATTAATTTTTATTATTTTTGTTTATTTAATTTCAGTACATGCTTATAATTAAATTAACAATTAAAGATTCATAATTAACAAGAGAGATAGCAAATAACAAAATAGTGTCTGCTTTTATATATAAAATAATGCACAATAAAATAAACATCGACTATGGAAAAAAAATTTAATTATATGTATTGTATTAAAAATATATACTGCATGACAATTTAAAAATATTTAAAAAATAAATAACCAATAAAAATAAATCGTTATGAAAAAAAAGATAAAAATCTTACATAACGTTTTTAAATTATTATCCTTTCTTTTTGTAAATTTTCCAATTTTTTTTTTAAATGTTTAGTATGTTCTTTCTCTGTAGTTAGTTTTAATTTTTGCTAATGTAACATAATGTTCTATATAAATATAATATCCTAACTACCAAAGAAATAACGTTTTAAATATAATATCCTAACTACCAAAGAAATAACGTTTGCAACATTCTCAAGTTTTTTCTTACAATGAAGCGTTCCGTGAATCTTATGTTTTGTCAGCATTTATAGAGAATGCGGAAATTGTAATGTTTCTTGTCGGCCTTATGTCAAGAACGTAACATGGATGTGGACGCACAATTCAATATAATAGTATATATTATCTTTTTTTTTATAGTTTATATAGGTCAATGTTATATGAAAATTTACAAGTCATAATATTATAGTATATTTCAAATTGCTCGAGTTATCATTAGTCAGTCATTATTATGATTATAAAAAGTTTGTATTAAGCTATTTATTTTCTACTCTTTTAATATATTTATAAATTTTTTACTTTTATTTAATTATAATTTATTTTTACAACAAAGTAAAAAGTATTAGAATGTTTTATGCGTAGTTTATAATTTGTACAAAAACCAAATATAATTTGTCGATAATAATTATATTTATAAATGAAACACTCACATGACATCAGATTATGAAACAATACATTTTAATTGAGTGAGGACAAAATTTATTGCAAAAGTATTTGCTCAAAGATATATACGTTAAAGAATGTTGTTGAAAAGTTGTTTCAAAATATCTTTTAAGTGCTGTTTTGATAGAACAAGGAAACAGAAAAGTTAATTGCATTATAGATCAATAATATATGTATATTTCTTTATAATCAAAAGCGTATTTATGAAAAAAATAGGTTTTGTATTTAAAAAGTTTCAAATCAAAATTACAAAGTAGCCGCCTAAAAATATCGATATAATATATATTTTTCAAAAAAATTTACAGAAATGCAAGAGAGAAAAAGAAGTAATGGAAAATTTGCTAAGTATATTTTGATGCCAGACATTATGTTTCATTGAAAATTGGGAAGTACAAAAATCATAATCCTAGGAAAGTAATGCACAATCATATATACGAACCAGTGTGAAAGAAGTTTATTGTCCATATTATCCAAAATATGTTTCTTGCAAAATGTTCGACTGGTATTTCTGTAACAGCGAAATGCAATGCCAGTTTAAATTACACCCTGGACAGTATGTCATATGACCTCGGTATCGCATTTCCTCGTATATTTCATCGCATATCTCACAGATGGAAAGTGGACTCTTATAAATATCTATATCAGATTATGATTATATGACCATTACATAGGTATAGGACTGCATTTGCGAGATCGCATCTTCCTTTACACGTGGGAAGTGAAATTCATGCTATCGAATTTTTTTAATGTGGTGTACTCCGATGTCTCTAAGTATACTAAAAAATATATGCAATTTCACTGAACATCGAGATGATTAGGATTGAAACACGTTATTTGCAACGAAGTACGTCGGGATGTTTAAGTCAAAACTTTTGAGCTAGATGACACATCGTCCGCCATGCAAAGACACAGCGCGTAATCTGACGTAATCTTCACGAAAGCAGAACACACAGTGCAAATCTATTCGGGAGCGGGGCGAGATTTTTATTGAAGAGAAAATTACATAAGCGCTACTCTCATCGAAGTGGATTGCCACACACATAAGAGACACCGCGCTCGATGATTACACAGATACGTCATGGATGAAGAATTCTTCGCGCGGGTGTATTATTATCATCTTAGAAAGCAGGTCCACGCATGACAGTATAATTGATTCATCACGAGCGGTAAATCGTCTCTCTTCGGCTATTAATTTTTGCGATTAGGTCGCTAGCTTTGGTTCAACTCGAGGGTGTCACGCACGAGATGTTCCTTCTTAGCCGGATGATTATCAAGTCGGCGAACTGATTCAGGTCGCCAATTAAAGAAGGTACATACTCGCCGCCGGAGAAACTTATACATATGTATGGGAATGGTTGCTCGAATCCATTTTTTTGACCGGCACCAGCGAGGATATATTTGCATACATTTCCCATGGAAATTGACTTTTATGGTTGTCCACATTGCTTTCGTAATTTCTTCGGGCAGGATTGCGAGATCCCTAGTCACGTAACATCATTTATCAACGATTAAATTGAAATCACGATTCCGATAATAATTAATCTGATAATAATTATTCTTACAACTCAATGATGATTGTTTTATATTCATGTAATTACCATTTTTTTACAATTAATTATAATTTCAGTATTTTTCTCTTTTATTATATCACCTCGTTTATGAGAACGATTAATTACATCGAGTTTTAATATTTTCGAGTAAATACTTTCGAGAGTTATTCTCATATTACGGCATCAACGTGTTATCATCGAGAATCTCTAGACAAATAAAGAATAAATCAAGAAAAATTAAGAAAAAAGATGCAATTGATAATTACAGTACTAATAACAAAAATAATTACATTTCACATTCGGATTAATATTAATTTAAAGATGCAAAAATATAGATTACTTTTTATGTGCTGTCAAGTTACTTCGAAGTTAGTTCGATCAGTAGAATTAATAATTTTGTGCTAATATAGTTTAGTTATGACGTTTTAATAATTATGGAGTCAGTATGCTGACCTGAAATGTGCAAATGAAAACGCATTAGAGCTTGCTGAGAAAATATTAGTTCCGTCCTGGTAATATTTTCCGTTCTTTTGCAAAATGCAGCGAATAAATGTTTTAATCCTCTAATCTACTTTGTTACCACACATTTCCATGTTGTTATTGTAAAACTGTAAAATTATACTTAAATTATTAATTTCGCATAATAATTTACGGCATTATCGCCAATGACAATAGTAATCCACAAATGGACAAAATATAAACTTTTGTAACAAGCCATAATCTGATAACTTAACTGGCGTGTTAAATTATTTTCGATTGCGATTGCTTGATATAATCAGTTGGATTAAGTGAAGGCATGAAAAGCAATCAAGCGGCTTAAAAATTTTCCGGTTTTGTACCAGCTAAGGCGAAATGGCTCTCTTTGCCGGCGGCTGTTAAAAATACCGGGGCGATTCTCGAAGGTAATTACGCACAATTTCTTCGACCATAGCGACCACCGCTTTCTACCAAGCAAAATATTCCGTGAAATATTCCGTGCGGTTTATGCAAAAAAGACGATGGAAAGACGAAATTTATGCATATGCGCTGGTCATCGAGGTGAGATTGACTGATTATAAACGGTTACGAAAGATATGGCCAGTTCGAGAAAAATCAAGTATCGAAAATTCATTTTCTCGAAAATCGCCGCTCGAAAGTCTTCGACCTTTCGATTTTGTACTTTGCAAAAGTAGAAAATCAAGACAGCTCACATATATATTTGTTCTTATCTCTGATTTACATAACGGAATATAGATATGCTACGTATAATTAACAACACTATGTCGTACGTATCCATAAAACGTGCGATCGTTCCTTTCACCGTGCGACGATTAGAAAGCATTAATTAGATATTAAATAATTACAGCCATTAAGTTGCGCTGACGCTTATGGTTATTATCTGCGACCTAATTCCCTTTTTTATAGAATTAATTCTTCCTACTTCATATCAATGACTACAACTAAGTTGTTTAATCAATCACCGATATAACTCGTCCGTATAAAAATGCTTTATTCTAAATAAAATTATAATATTATAAATTAAAATTATAATATTTTAGTATCAATTAAGAAATTGTATCAGTTAAAGAGTCAACAGTTCTTTAGAATCGATATCATCATGGCGGAAAGGAGTCGAATATCTCGATAAAGGCTCCATAGTGCAAGAATATTACGTCACCACTTCATTCATCTAGGATTCTGTGTTGCATTCAATCTAACGATAAGACAAGCTATGCAAAGTCAATGCATTCAACGGACGATTGCTCTCTGACTGTTACGTGCTATTGTCCATCAGCGACTACAAAGGCCAACGAACCTTGGACACCAAGACCTTTCTCTTGCGAGTCAAGGTACCTTTGTCCTACTTAAGACATACCTTAAGAGATTCGACGGCATCCCCTTTTTTCTTCGGCCGGCATAAGATCCACTGGCCGACATTCATTGAATTTCTACCTCTGCATTTCCTACATTTCCGCGCCGTTGAATTTATGCATGTACGCTTTCTGCATGATTTTTTCCACTGGAAACCTAATTTTATCGAGATACGTAATAATCATATCGTAACATGTACTTGTAAAAAGATAATTGTCAATGATCAGTAATAAACGATCAGTGCTAGAATAGTACTAGAAATTGTAAACAATAATTAATATTAAGTTAGAATTATTAATTACAATCTTATTTCTACACTGTGCATTTTATTTTTCTTTTTATAATTTATAACACAGATATTTTTAGTAAGTTTCACGAAGCCTGTTTATGAAACAGACTTTCCTCATTTTTATCTTTGATTTTTTTAGATTTCAACAAAATATATGTAATAAAATTAGTTGTATGTGTGTGTGTGTGTGTGTGTGTGTGTGTGTGTGTGTGTGTGTGTGTGTGTGTGTGTGTGTGTGTGTGTGTGTTTCGTATGTACTCGGATTAAAAAATATTACTACAAGTCACGAAATTCGAGACTTGACCTCCAAAATTAGGTTCACCAAATTGGAATTCTTTGGTATAACAGCCCGTTCGATAACCCTACGGAGTACCGTTGGCGAAACCAACGGAAATGGCAAACGTAGAGTATTCAGTGTCAATGCCACAAAATTGCCCGGGACCTTCGCTACGGAACGGAAGGCACCCGGTATGTGAGAACCGGCGTTTCTTCGGCGGACCTCGGTCGCCGTGAAATCGTAAGTGGCGGTTCATTCAGGAGCAGGAAACCGGACGCCAGGATATCTTTTTATACCCCGATTCGGGGGGATTCCTCTTTTAAGCCGAACCTGACTGCGGAAGGAATCCACGGAGAGTCATTAAGCTTGCACCAATTAGCCGCGCACCCGGTTATCACCGGTAGAAACGCGATTACAACCGAGAAATGCACAAAGACGCGAGTCATATCTGCTCTAGGGATCTAACCCGAAACCCCCCCCCCTCGAGATCCAATTAAACAAATCGGCTCGTCAGATCGTACCGCCGGGCACCACGAAGAAGCGACTCGTCTGCTTAAGGAAGAGAAGATCGCTGCGCTTTACGAGCGCGCTCAAGGTTTATCCGCGAGTTAATTAAACCCGAGGAATACGTGTTACGTAATTACGTACGCCGACTAGCGCCTTCCGGTTCGCGGTGGAAACGTCCACGTCTGTTCTGTCACACATAATTGTCACGGTCGATCGATGCGGCGTGAAACGAGATTATCCGGTTCCAATGGAATTATAGAACATGATAGATCGTGATCTAAGCTCTCTAAGGTTGAAGTTATACCGGTTTTAATGCTAGAAACGCGAAGTCTCAAAATAAATCGTTATGTGTACCACAGATGATTCCCCTTGAACTGGTCTTCTGACCCATGTCAAACTTAAATTTGTTTAAACTTGTCTAATTAAATATTTATATATTTCTGTTATTACATATAACATATCGAATTCTGGTCTTACTCGGTAATGTCGAGCACGATTTACGAACGAAAATCACTTTTCGGCCTTCGATTCCTTCGCGAAGACAATGTTCGATCACTCAATTTGCTTACAACGCTTCGACCGTGATATACCGTTAGTCGATCGAGATGAAAAAAAAATGGAAAAATTTCTAACAGCGTACCGACCTTCAAACGGGTCTCAGGAGCCTCAGATAGATCTGGAAGTTGAAAGGTTTCACGTGAAAGTCAAGGCCAGTCAGTTGCAAGTTACACGACTCATCTCATACGGACAGATTTTATTATTATTGTCATTATTATTATCATTATTGCAATTTTACACGCGGTTTTGCGAGGACGTTCGGTGAAAGCGAATCGTCGACCACTTTGGCGAAAATTGCTCTGTCCGTTTGCCTTTCTCAGATGAATATTAACACGATTATAAACGGTTTCCGTCGAATGACTGCACGAAGAAGCTACTCGATTGATACATATTAAGAGAAATACTATACGTTCATTTGTAATATAATTGGCATAAATTATGCTTGATTAATAATTCGCAATTTCACTTCGTCATGATTTCGCTTTCTGGAAAGTGTAGAATTCGTGTAATAAAATAATTACATGTTGGGTAAAACATGAAAGCAGCCAAAAGTAAGATTTTTTTCAAAGAATCGTTAACAACACATCATTGATTTTTTGATTGAAAACTTACATGTATATTAAAATATAGTGATAAAATATTTTCTTTTATTTTGTAAATTTGTATAAAGATGTCTCTTGAAGTCGAGGCGGATCATATTTAATACAGAATATTCAAATATAAAAAGTAAACAAAATCTTATTGTCTGATAATTTCATGATAAAAGTAATATTTCTAGATAATAAATAACAAATGCATCTGAAATCTGTTTGACCATATATTTTATTTTGATATACATGGTATTTCTAAATAACACTAATTATATAATAGTATTTCGTGTTAAAAATTGGATCAAAGAAGCATTGAGTCTTGAACCATTAAAAACAAACAAAAAGAAAATTCTATAAAGAAATGAAGCGTTTCTATGTATAATTTATTTCCTATATAATTTAATGAAATAAAATTTTTTAAATGTTTATGACTTAATGACTGATAATTTTTAATGCCAGTTATAAAAATTAAAGGAAATGTATATAAAAGGCTTGAGTTAAAAAAGAAAGAGTTTTAAACATCATCGAAGACACCGCCTTGAATCTCCTTCAGATTGTTCTCATAAATATATAAACTGCTGCCAAAGCCAGTGTTGAGTCCATGAAGAGCGCCGTTTTCCAACTTCTGGAAAGGATTTTTAGATATGTCCAAAATGTAAAGACTTTCCAAATTTTTACAGGCGCCTTTTCGAATCTCCGATATCTTATTTTCCGAGAGCCAGAGACGCCTTAATCGGTTCAGGCCCTCGTAGCTGTCACCTTCAATGGTCGTCAAGGTGTTGTTGTTCAAATACAGATCCCTCAAAGTTGGCAAATTGAAGGCGCCACGCGATATATTAGAAATTTTGTTTCCAGTCAAGGATAATATGGCTGTTGGGGCTTGAACAAAACTATCCTTCTCAAGAATGTCGATCTCATTGTAATCGAGATGCAGGGAGTCCACGGATTGCGCAAGATCGAATGTAGCCTTGGTTATTTTGTTATTGGCAAGATTTAGCAGCTTCAAAACCGGCAATTCGGAGAAAGTGCCCTTTTGCACATCGCGTATTGAGTTCCAACGGAGATCGAGCGTCTGCAATACCGTTAAGCCTTTGAAAGCGCTCGGTTCAATCGACTTTATACCATTTCCTGTCAACGCTAATGTCTGCAAGGAAACCAGGCCTCGGAAGACATTATTCTGTAACGTTTCGATTTTATTGTCGTCAAGATGAAGATAATTTAAACGGTGAAGTTTGGAAAACGCGTCATCGGGGATAGAAATTATGTGATTTCTCTCAGCTATAAAGATGGTCAGGGTGTTTGGCAGACTGGAAACAAAGTTTAGACTTTCCAATTGATTGCCAGAGAGATACAATTCCCTTAGATTCGTCTTCGCGAACGCACTCTCCTCAATATCCTCGATCAGATTGTCCCTCAAGTTGAGCCTAGTCAGGTAATCATTCTTGATCACCTGACTCCAGATCCTAGATATTTTATTTCCTTGAAAGTTTACATATGTCAGGTTTGACGGCAGGTTGTTCAGCGTCTCCTTCGTGATCTCGGTGATCTCATTGTTCGACAGATCCAACGAAGCGATCGGCAGAGAATGCAATTGATACCAGTCTTCCTGGAAACCTTTGATGCCGAGGTCGACGAGATTCACATGCGTCGCATCAGTATCGATTGGCACTTGAACGCATTCTGCAACGAGTTCTTCGTCTTCTGAAAGAATCTTCAATGACGTCACGATATCATCGGACTTGCAAATTTTCACTCGGACGCTTTCGCCAAGGGCTTTAACGATCATTCCATCCTGAGCCTCTGTGACTATCTCAACTTTGTCGACTTCTTTTTCTTTGTCTCGTTACCCTTTATGGAAGCCGTCCGATCTTGCATCGCTGCCAGTTGCTTTGGCTTTTCAATATCCTTGAGAAAGGAGTTAGCGAACACGCCTGTGCTGATGCTCCAGAGGATATTTCCATCGGTGCGAATCCTAACGGACTTGGTGAGGCCGAACAAGTGACCCCTCCCAAGATGTCTGATAGGATTGCGAGAGATGTCCAACAGTTGCAGATTCTCCAAGCCAACGAACAAGTTCCGGACGTTCGATATTCGATTATTCGACAGCGATAGACTCTTTAATTTCGTTAAATTGGAGAAAATGAAATCCGGCAAAGAAGTCAACGAATTGTTGGTAAGTACAAGCGATTCCACGTTAACCACATTATCAAAGGCGTTTCTCTCCAGCGCGCGAAGATTCGATAAGCCTGACAATTTCAGTTCCGTATGATCAGAATTTTCGATAAATTGAACATTTTTCAGTGTGCCGTTATCGATCTCTACAATTTGCAGTATCGTTTTGCCGATTTTTTCGACTTTTACAGGCACGCTGACCGCTAAAGACAGCAAACATATAAGGAGCAGCATCGTCATCTAAAACAATTAATGATCCATTTTTCTTTCAAATTAAAAAAATTTTGTATTTATACGTATTGGATGTTAAATAATGCGTCTATGTCGATAAATTTATTGTAGAAATTATTAAAAGTGATACGTGATATTGTTAATTATTGCACGCAAAGAATAGACAAAGAATCATTTATTAATCTTCTTTTTAGCATTTCTAAATCTTTATTTTTTTTTTCAGAAATATGCGGAAGTTATGCGATAATTAAAAATGTATGTGTAGTGCTCGTTAAATATACTAGCTCTATTTTTATCCAGTTAATCATGATAATATGTGAGAATTTTTGTCAGGACGTACATTGATTAGGATTCCACGCTGATAGCTCAGGAAAATTCTATAGTAAGACGTTCCAAGAATCCCACGCTTTGAGATTATTTTGCGACACTACTTATGATAAACGACTCTCGCATATCATCATAATCGCAAGAATCCTGATGAACGACAGCTCATATTATTCTCCGAAACTTATGTCAGATATTAAAGAAACCGGTTGCACACAAAGTCGGAACAAATTACATAATTTGTGATAATTTCCGGAAGTAAAACACGTTCCGATGACGTAATCGGCGAATAATTTTCATCAATACCGTGAAATAATTTCGAGACCGTTTGCAAATCTAAACTTTGAGTTTACGACGTACGAAAAAGGTCAAAGATTGAAATGGGCTACGTCCCGCGCGTTACAAGATCCATTTTAAATACGAAGTCTGCTGTAAATACAAAGCTGTATTCAAGATCTTTATTTTAAACGGAAGAATTACGTTCTAAAGTGATCTTTTTTTTTTATATTAAATCACTACGGATACTACGTTTTTATACTTCGTGCAGTAGTTCGCCGATGTTCTTTTTGTGGTTAATGCATCGTGGAAACTTCAGTTAACGTGAATCACGTCGTTGCAGAACATTCGCGTAAGAACATGTTCCACTTACCGGTCAATCGGCCGAGAGCCACAGAGAGCCACGGAAGTTCCTAAAGATCCCTCCTGTCTTCGGGCGCAGACAGATAAAGACTGCCTGAGTTTCTATTCCTGGCGGATAACGCGCGGCGAGATTCCTCAGGACGAGGTAATCACGAAAACAGGTCTTGCAGGCCTTTATAGTCGAATCTCATGCGTGTACAGATTCCTAGGTGCGTAAAAGTAGGTATGTAAAAGATGAGTATTATGTTTCTCGGTAGGCGAGCTCCCGAGCTCAAAAAAGAAGGAGGATCAATCCTTACTTGGAAATCGCCGACGGCGATTTCGCTTTTTAGGCCCGTCGACACCCGAGTGTCCGATGACGTATTTGTCGCTGCCGAGAAGATAAGTGGCACGAGCCGCGTTACCCTCCTCGAATTAAATCACTTCGTCACGCGCTAATCGACGTCGAGAAACGGATCCTATCCTATTCGATTCTACTACGAGTGATCCGATCTCTCTCGTTGTTCTTAGCGCGTGTCGACATCGTTCTTTTTACACCGACTGTCCGCCGTGTTTTTAACAAAACACCAACAGCCGGGAATACTTTTTGCCCGAAAACCATGGGCCAAGAGCGCTGTGTTACGTCACACTCGACTTGACTCGATTATGAGGCGACAAAAGACCTTTTAATCCTGTTTTCGAGCGAACGTTTTCACGCAAACAATACGACGTAGGAATAAAGGTCGAGTTGCGCATTCGTTGCGTTTAATTCGATACGCTACGTGTGACTGTTTCATTCGGGACGCTCTCTTACGTGAATTCTTTCATTTTAATCTTACGTCAAAAAAGATTCGCTGATTGCACTTAACATATTACAAGTACACTATGAAATATCGCTGCGATAAATAATGCAAATAATAATGATGTTCGGGTGTTCGGCGAGCATTTCCGGGTAGCATTAACGTACGATAATGTGCCAGTACATCTTCGATCTTAATCGAAAATTCGATGAAGCACAGCCGATCGCTGGACCGTAACTGACGAAGGACTCAATAAATCATTTTAAATCTAATCCATCTAAAAACCATCAAAAGCGATGCGACAGTTTGATGTTTATAGATAATTTAATAAATATCAAATTCAATAAACTAATTTGGTCGAATCAGTTTAATCTCCGATTCTTTTGCGATATTTTTTTGCGGTTTCTTTTTCTTCGTAGTAAAATACATTTGCAAATACAGGATAAAGGCACAAAACCGTAAAGTTGCGGTAAGTAAAGGATTATGAAATATCGAAGCGTGCTATTGCGCGCGCGCGCATTTAAAACGCATCGTCAATATTTTCTCAACGGATATGCTAGATGATATATTTATCTAACTCCATAAGCGGCATTTCCCCGTACTTATACGACATTCCTCTCGGGAATGTATGAAATACTCCCGTGCACAAATTGCCGCATAACACGTGAGAGATTTAGATTTCATAAAAAACATCTCTGGAAACGCATCGTTACAAGGCCGATCCGATGACGCTTCATAAAGAAGACTTCTGTGTCGTTCGATGGGCCAGATACCAAACTGGCCAATCCACTATTTTTACACGGACGCACGTCCAAGAGAGTTGACGTTCGTCGGTTCGATCACTACGATTCACTCTGGCTGGATCTTTCGCACATCGCGATTTCCCACAGCTCGTTCTCGCGCGAGATAAATTTTACCCGCTTTAACCGCGAACGGCGGAGCTTCGCGCCGCTAATTTCTTATGTTTCGTGATCGAGAGACGGAGAGGGCCCTTTGCCTCTCGCGGCGCAGCCAGCCGCCGGGAGGTCGTCGTACTTCCGGAAACCGGCTGGCCATCTTCCGCTATGAGAACCACTGGATTCGTCGGATCATGGTTATTACGAGGGTACAAGAGCGCCTTCCTCTCCCCCTCCCTCCCCCTCCCTCCTTCGTACCGGCGGGTTCGCACTTCTCTCACGGTTTCATTCACAAAAAAAAAAAACCAGCCGGCCGATACGGCTCACGTGCGCTCAGTTAATTAAGTTTATTGCACATGTGTACGTAACCGACAGTGTCGAAGGTTGAGACGATATCACGCATACGTTAATCCATGAACGTAAAACACGCGCTCTCCGAGCGCGAGTGCTCCGATCACGCATCACGCTTTTTTTCCTGTTATTTCCTTTCCTACTACTTCGAGCTACCTTCTCCCCGAGTACGAAGAAGACTCGTTTCCGCCTTATATTCGAATTCGGCCTTGAACTCTGTGTCTGCAGAAAACCGCGCGGCCATCCTTTCGGTGGAAGAAATAATAAATATGATAATCGTATGCAAAATATATTTTGCAAGCAATTTACAAATAGTAAAATGTATAAAAAAAAGCCAATATGTATATGTGAGCTATATCTCTTATCACGGTACATTTTATTCCTAAATATTTCTCTTAACCTATAATTTTCACTCTTTTTTTTGATATTGTTTGTAATTTTTGTCAAAGTTTGTAATATCGGTTGCAAATATTATTCTAGACTCTTTCTCAAATCGTGTAATGGTTGAGTTTATAAATTATAGTGGATATAAAAAGATATAAAAAGACAGAAATTTTCAATGTTAATGTTAAGTACCAATTATCTGACGTAAAATCTCACGACAAGACAATGTTATTTCCAATTTATTCTTACGAGGAAATATATAGTTTTTAACTTTTGTAATTAATATTCTACGGATCACGAAACCTAAAGGTGTCAGCATATCCTCGCGCAAATTGCGCCAGGTGCTAATTAACCGCATGTAAATTTATGTTAAATTCCGCCCCAAGCTGAATAAATTAGGTGAAATATATAAAGATTTTCTATACAATTTTTTTTTCTCTATTAACAGAATAATATGAATGATAAAGAGAGTAGGGAGAATTTTTCCCGGCTCAGAATAATAATTATTTCGATACAACGTGTCAAATAATTAGTAGCCTTAATTCCAATTTGTGGCGACAGGAATAGGTAGGTTTCAGAGAGCAATAATTAAATTCGTAACACAAATCTTCTCAGTCTTGTATTAAACGATATTTTTAACTGAAAGCAAAATTATTTTCTGTAATTTTGTAACATTATGTACGTCAAGCGTTATGTTGTGCAATAAAATTTCTATTCGGGAAAGGAGAGTGGGAGCTTCGCGAATAAAAGGAAAGTTAAAATTAAAAAAAAAAGTGCAATGAATCAGGCGTACGTAGATGTGACGAGTTAATTTTCTCATTCGCGATTCTTTATCTGAAAATCTGAGAATTGTAAGGTTGCGTACAACATTTCCCGGCAAACAATTATCGGCCGAATAATTATATACGAGGCGCCAAGTCATAATACCTAATTGAATTGTACGCAATGGCGTACAATTGAACCTAAGTAATAATATCGTACATGCGAATGCCGGCCTTGCATTGTTGCCTAGGTGTATGGCGCGGCAATGTAAAAGGAACAACGTGCCATTGTTTCAATCATTTCTTTGATTGCAATCTCACTCGATATTGATGCAGTCATGTTCATCATTCGAAATTCTATACAGTTTCTAAATGTTCTAACTCTCTTCCTGCCATTGTGATGTACTGAAACGGAATAGACCGGGAGCTCAAAGTATTGTATATATATATATATATATATATATATATATGCAAGATATGAAGATTGCAAATTTGACTTTTGATTTAAGTTTTAGCTAAATATTTTAATATAATTTAGATAAATGTTAATATAATTTATATCTGTTGAGATTAGTCTCTAGAAAACTTTTTACACAAAAATTTCTATCATCAAAGATATATTATTACACCTAATTAATGTTTAATTTTGTTTAAAAATGGAAATAAGATGTTAAATGTTATTTTCTTCTTTATTAAAATTATCTTTATCTTTATTAAAATTATTATTAAAATTCTAGAAATAGAATTAATTAGGATTATCTTTATGAGACAAAACATGTATATGATATTGTATTTCATTGTAACGTTACTTAATTTCGAGCTAATCATTACGCTGCACGCAACGAACTTATCGTTGAAGATATCAAAGATGAAAGAAGAGAAAATAATCCAAGTACGAATGCGGCAACATGTGCATTTTCTTACTACAAGCTCTTACGGTTTCAAATGTAAATATTACGAAATGAATTATGTCTCTCATATTCTGCATATTTATACTATGGCATCTGTGATTCTATTCGTGTGTGTTACAAAAACGCTGTTTTACTTCTATTGCAAATCATCAATATTATAATTGTTAGAAATTTTTAACATACTTCGTATTTCTATAAGAATTTTTTCAAATGCGACACAATTTCGATTTGAGTGAGTTTAATTATAAAAAAAAAAAATCTGTGTTTATAACTATTTTTAAAAAGGATTTTGTCTTCCTCCTTTTTTTTTTGCTCGAATTTATATCAACCAATACGATCCGCAATGTATACATTAGCATCTTATAAAATTTTCGAATGAAATATTGGTTTTAATAAAATGCAACGCGGTTTGTGTTACTTTCATGCGAATTTCTATCCGAACGTGATGGCTAATAAATGCGGCAGCGAGTACTAAATCATTGCTCGGAAGAGTGCGTGTCTTATTAAATGCAGCTAACGTGCACAAATATATGTATATACCGATAAGAAATTTATTTTATTGACTCGTTTAAAACTGTTATGATAAATTTGACCGCGACCATCTGGAAATTTGCACCGCTGCACTTAAATTTCTTCCGCTTTGGAATATCATTATCTTAAAATTATTCCAATGTTACGTAGCACATAGTTAACAAACATTAACTGTTGATGACTCATGTTAATTAATGAATTGCTATATAAAAAAGAATAGTCAGTATAATTATTATTACAGTAACGTTTCTTACAATTCATCCAAGTTGCTCAGAATTTATGGGCTCAGGATTGATAAGGCAACATGTGCGACATGTCGTATTTCTACTTACAATTTAAATTATTTTTTAAGGTAACTCTTATCTCTACCATGTTTATGCTAAATGCGCAAAGTAAAAAGACGTAATCTTATCCTTTCCTTGAAAACTTCGAAATTCTTGCACAATTTTAACTTGCTGCAAGAGTTTTCAAAAAAAAAACTTAATATTATAACATAATATTTAAATTGTTTTTGGAATGTCTTCATCATGTATGTTACATGATTTCTGGTAAAAAAAAAAAAAAAACAAAATATTTCTGAGTATTCAGATAAATATTCAATTATTACTGCGGAAGGTTTTTTTTTTAGAATAACATATCACGATCGCGTTTCGAAAAGAAGACACCTGTACGGTAATCAGGGTTAAAAATCCGGTAGGCCTTAATTTAAAGACCCAAAAACGGACGCCTCTCCCCTTCACCGCCTGGCACGTAGTAGAAGCGACCTCGGAACAGGAGGGGGGAGGGGGGGGGGGTCCCAGGTGGGATGGCACGGCGAATGTGGAGTAGAATCGCGGCATTACGTGCCACCGAGTAACGGAGCGCGGACGCGGAATAGAACGTATCGCGTGTCGCGTCTCCGTGTTTCGCGTCTCCACGCGACTCTCCGAGGCTCTCCGAAACGACGGAAGAAAAGCGACAGTCGCGTGTCGACCAGCGGACAGGTCGGTGCAGATCGAGCGAGCGGATGCCTCCCGCCCCTCGACACCTTCCCACGACGACGGGCTCTCAGCCACGCTCCGCCTTCGCCGGAGTTCGCCGGAGGACCGATGACTGAAAAGATCCGCGGGGACGGTCGCCGCACACGCGTTTCGACACCCGGAAGCCGTACGAATCTCCGACCCGGTGCCGCCGTCGCCTCGAGCGAAATCGCATCGTCGGTCACGATGTCGTAAAGTTGCTCGAGTGTTGCGCGCGCGCGCGTGCGCGCATGCTGAAGGAGACCGATCGACTCGCCGATTGAGGATGTTGACCTGGTAGCGGGTGTTGATCGACAGGAAAATCGCTCGCTCGCGGGAGACCGACGACTAACGTTTCTCAGCCAGCTGTTGGCGAACGTTAAAATTCGATCGATAAACATTTCTCTCGGTCGTCGCCGCCGCCGCCGCCGCCGCCGCCGCCGCCGTCGTCGTCGTCGTCGTCATTGTCATTCAACAGTGATTCAGTGAATGGACTTTATGAGTGACCGTTGTCGAGGCACGGCAGCATCCACCGGAAGACACGAGTGTCCGATGACGACAGATCGATCTCCGATGGATCGCACGTGACCGCGATCTCGTGGGATATCGTCCGATCGCCGCCAAGAGGAAGATCCCGTAGGAAAGGCCCGATTTCCCGAAAGGAGCGGCAAGATGCTGAAGGAGAGCATGTGGCGGCAAAGGAGAGTGCCCGTTCCCAAGAGGTAAGGAGGCTATCTCGAGACACGATTAACGGCGGCATTAAAGCCGCCTAATTACGCCTGCGCGATTAACATCTTGTACGATACCATCGATATTTATCTGCGCGTAGAACATGAGAGTGCACGAAGGGATACCGTATCTCGCCGACGCGAGACGTAGCCTCTCTAACGAATCAAGGTATTTAACCGTTAAGCATGCTGTGACTCAATCTTAACCAACGATCTTCCACCTTCTCCACCAGATAAAATTCTTCCCGTGAACTTGTCCCTTTTTTCATAAAGGTCAATTTTAAAAATTACACTGTTACGAGTAAAAGTTTTTAAAAATAAATTAAATAATAAATAAATGAATTAAATAAATTAAAAAAGTAAAGAATTTTACTAATACTTTAAGAAAGTATAAATTTAACTAATAATAGTACTTTTTCGGTTTTATTATATATATATATATATATATATATATATATATATATATATAATAAACACATTTGAAACTTCATATTTGATAGATTTTACTAAAGAAATATTATGTCTTTATTATATATTTTTTTAATTATTCTTAAATATCAATACCTTTTCTCAAAGGAGTAATATATCAATCTTTTTCTCTTCAATAAAAAAAAAGAAAAATGAGATAGAGAAGAAAGTAGAAATAGAATATAAATTTTAGATAATAATTGTATGTGATTTTTGATTTTTTTTTTCACAAAAAGATATGCAAATTTCGAATATGCGATGGCTATGTAATTTATGCACACATCATTTTTCACGGATTGCATATAAATTAAAAAAATAAAGCATACTAGATATAAGCTATAGAAAGTAAACTAATCTTATGAATCGGATCTATAATGAATTTTTCACGTTCTTCATTTCCTGTACACTATATAAAATATAATTACAGTATTAGTATTATTAGTTATTCACCCAATTTAGACACATTAGCCTTAATTATATCTAGTACAATGAGTATAGAATATTTCATTATCATAATATAATTTTAGCGTATGTTTTTAATTGACGCTATTGTCTCTAATATTAGACACTAATTTGCATATATTCACATGGAACGTACGGCTTATATAAAGCAATTTTAATTTCACATCTTTCTTATAGTAATATTTAAAAAAATATCATCTAAAAGAATTTTATTTTTTAAATCTAAAAAATCGATAGCTCTCTAATTGCACTACCAATAATGGATCACTTGTAATAACTCATATATATCACAGAAAATACGAGAAAGTTGGCAACGAGAAATATGTTATTTTAGCATCCAGATGTAGTTTTATTAGTCATACGTAAAACGCACGTCCGAGACATTCGACATGGAAGATACCAGTAGGCTTTACGTAAGGTTTCCTGTTTCGCCTCATGAATATGTCATTACATTTTGAATGAGGTATAAATTTAACGATGAAAAGAAAAAAAAAAAAGAGAATATCGCGCTGAAGCGTCACGTCGCCGCGATCAGAATCGAGGTGACGAGTTTAAAGGTCTCGCAACCAGGGGAACTCTCGTGGTAAGCTAGACAAAATCGATTCATCATGGCAGAATAATGCAAACCGCACGAGAGAAAATCGTGAGTGGTCGATTCCTCTCGGGTGCTCCATGTCTTATGCAAATAAACGTGAGTGGTTTGTCGGCCTGCGATTTCTTTCTACGCGATTGGCCCCCCCCCAAGTGCGCGTAAAGTCATAAGTCACGAGCAAAGTCGATGGTCTACATAGCGGAACGCTATGTATATTGTAGAACGCGGTAAATAGGACTCCTTTGATGGATCTACGCATATTTCATTTGAATTTTTATCAACGACTGCATTCTTACCTCGCTGACTCGTATGAAATATGTACGAGCGTCATTTTTCAAGGAAATTCGTCACATGAATATATTTTACCTTTTATAAATAAACCCGGACAAATTATCTCTCTTATATTTTTTTCAATTTTTGTTATAAAAATTTTTATTTAAAGCAGCTGATAAAAGTAGTGATTGTTTTAAATTATCGAAAGATCGGTATACATTCAGTAAAATATTGTATCGTAAATTTTGCGATCTATATTAGAAATTATCGCGCGATAAACACCGTTGTTTCGCGTCTCTCTCATTTATCCTCTTATTATGTTAATACAGTTGATAATTACGAATTCTGCGAATGATGAATGACGGACTGTCGTATACGACGTTTGCAAGAATGCAGATCCATTTGTCTCGTTTCCATCATCGGCTCGTCCCGCCGATGATGAATTCTGCTGCCCGAGAGTGAGAAAACCGCGCGCGTAAATTCGCGATAATGAATCTCCGGCGTCTATAAATAAAAGTTACAGGGGCCTGTTGCGTAAATGAGGCAACGAGCAAATGTCGAGAAACGAATGAGGAAATGTCATTGCGATAAAATGGAGTAAGGGTTTCTGGGGGAGGAAGGGAACGGGGGAGGGGGAGGGGGGAGGAGGGGGGGGAGGGGGAGTTCGAACCCCCGTCCCGGCGAGCAGACAGAATCATTATCATTATCGGGCACTTCTCTCGCCACGCGGAACTCCCCTCGTCTGCTCGCACTTCCGACTTCTTCGCGACGAGATATCAAGCATTCGCCGCGAAACGCACTTGAGCGGGCACGGCGCGCAATTAACAGTGGCTACGATAATGCGCGTTAAGTGGCCATGTAGAAGATTGCCCACCATTCGAGTATGTATTTCCATTATGAAGAAACAACCTCTCTCCGGTATCAACAGACAGACGGATAGCCGGTTGTATGTCAAGCATCAAAATCTGATTTAATAAAAAGCACGCATAATGTCAGAGGGCACGTCCGCTTAAGTGTATAAAAAAATCGTGAATTAACATGGGTCGGACGTACGCGAACGCGTATAATTTCTTGCCTGTTAACTCCTTTGGATATACTATATATATACGCGCAGATGCGTTTTTCAGCTTATTGAGAGAGGAGAGTACTGCGTTACGAAAGATATCACAGTTGATCAGGACATCCGGTACATATTTAGCAACAAAAGCAGCAACGAGGAAACTCGTCCAACTGGATTGAGCTAACGTGCTTCGTTTAAATTAAAAATTTAATTGAAAACGCAGATATAAACGGAACGATCTCTGCTTCGGCGTGTGTGTTTAGCTGTTCCTGCGTCATTAAATACGATAATACGATGAAGGCAAGGAATTAGTAACCGAGTATTTTTCAAATGTTGAAAAATAATCTGCCAAGACAAATCGAATAGACCGTACGTAGGAGAACTTGCAAAGTATACTTCGCGGAGCTTTATTGGAATACGACTTCGGCCTCACCGGCTGCAATAATTTATCATATACGCGCGCTCGTTAAAGTCAATTGTGGTCGTTGTATTGCAACGAGCAGCATTGTCGGCGGTGCATCGACCGCGATCAAAAGTTGCATCGCAATTTCAGCGCGAATCTTTCTGCGTTGCCTCGCGGCTTTGTTGCGTCTGCCAACGTTACCACGATCCATTACGAAAGATTAAAACAAAACGCAGGATCATCCCTCTCCCATAATCGTAAACATTTTCCATCGGCGTATCGGAATGTAAGATCGAGCCTGAGAAAAAACACGCTTTTGAGATATTTAATGAAACTAACAGCACAATCGAAAGAAATTTGCGCGCCTTTCAACTGCGAGAGGCTGAATATTTCTCAAACCATTTTATTTCCTCTTTCCTGTTTCTCACGGATGCTACAGTAATAATTTAAAAAAGTAACAATTGTTCTCCGCAATCATATTTATAAATAGCCTAATGCGATATAGCGTAATAAAAATTAACACAATGTAACGAAATTCTGATATAGACAAACGTTGAAAGAAAGATTTCTCTCTCTCTCTTTCTTTTTTTTTTTTTTTACCGTAAACGCTTCTCTAAAATCAGTAGACTATCGTGGCAATTTTTATCGCTTGTCTGCGATTGCAATTTACAATTTTATAAATTAGACCGCGATATCAGACCGCGATCTGACCCGTAGATCTCTTTAGCCGACAACGCGCGATGGAATAGAAATTCCTAACGCCTGCACGTTCTTGCTATCGGGTCTCTCGATGGCACATTTCACGCATCGAATACCTACACGCGACGTTCCCATCGCGCGGGACAATTGGATTTTCAGATACGCATTCGCCGCATTATGTACACGAGACTTATGTACATGGTGCCCCTACATACCCCGTTACGGGGAAGGGAGAGGGGGGGGAGGGGGGTATATATAAACGCGTTCCTAAGAGCTTACGGTTCCCTTCTCTCCGCGTGTCGTTGACACTGCGTCCGCCAGAACGATACCGTTCGTTTCTCGCTTTTCCCTCAAGTAGAGATCTCCTTACGTTTCTCCGATAAGCCCGGAAGAGCCGTGATGGAATACCGAGGGAACGTCCTTGTATATCCTCGAGGAAACTAGCGGCATCGGCGCGACGGATTACGATGAAGAATACGATGATTTCAGCGTACATATAAATTGCTGGAAACAAATTATAGATAATTTGAGAAATTATAGATATACATATTCTCGTAGACTCACACGTGAAAAATCTTGCACTTATAATATAAATAACCTCTCATTTTTTTTGTTTCTCAGAAGAAAACGCTAGAAATATTTTATAAAATGTTATAGAAAACGTTTAACGTTATAGAAATTTAGTTTTAAAATCCTAAATATTTCAATTTGTATTATTCTATATGTATATATAATTTAAAAATATGAATAATCTAAGACAAGTATTGCTCCATGTGTTTTGTTTATTTTACGTTACGTTAGTTTATTGCACACTTGATAATTCTATAGAAAAAAATTAATAAAAGAAAAATTAGTAAAACAACTTAATGAAATTAATAAAAAATTATATTTTAATTTATTCCTCTCTTCCTTCCGTAAAAATGTCTCATTTACTAAATTACAATCTACCTTGTCAGACCGTTGTCACTACCGTGAGTACGGTGTCTACCATTGTATTTTAATGCCGAAACGAAAATCTCCGCGTTGCATTTGTTCGGAAGAATTTCGGAGCTTCTCCCACGTACTTGGTATCTCGATGGCTGATGTCTGGGAAGCTGCGATCTCCTAATGAGACGTTAGTAGACCGTAAAGCCATAGGCTCTTCTTTTGGCCTCAATTCAAATAATGCATCATTTAAACCTCGAGAACTGATATCAAAATATCGATGAATACATTGAATATATATAATATAGTAGTCATGGAAAAATTAAATGAATTTTGCAAATTTAGAAACGTAATTAAACTGCAAATATATAACTGTGTATATATCATTTCAAAGAAACCACATTTATTACATTATTCGAGGAAAGTTCTAGGTTCCCAGTTAAGCGTTTAAATTAAAAGTCGACAATCATTTAAAATGGACATTAAATCGTGTAAAGGAAAAATCTCGTGGGAACATAAAGTAAGAACATAAAGTAAGAGATATAATGAGACAACATGGTTAAGTCACGCATAAAATCTCTAAATTTCTAAGAAATTGAAAAAGATGTAGATAAATATGGCGTGAACATATAAAATCATCAAAACGTATAAGTATGTAATTAAATATAAATTACATAATTCAGTTCTTATTTCAAAAAAGATTTTTACATGCGATAATAACCTTTAGAAATTAGGATTACTCCGACATTAACTTTTTTAGCCAAAAATTACAAATATTTATATTTTCCGGAAAATTATTCATTTTCACGCGCTAATGACAAAATTAAACAACCGTTCAATGACAGTGCAATCATCTTTCAAACTGTGGTCATTCGTGAAATAGAATCATAATGAAAAACATGAGAACGTTAACAGTAAACGTGTAATTTAAAATGCAATTTGAAAAATCAATGTAGAATTATATCAAATTATTTCACATAAAGTATGCGAAATTTATACAAAGTAATATAAAAGAAGATCCTTTATGTGCTTTCTCCTTCTCCGTCTTTCTCTCTCCTATAATTACATTCCTCAGTAATCAATTTACTGTTTACTGTAACGTAAAGTGTAATTTTCGCAGGTGTAATTTTCAGAAGTGAAACAATTTTTGCGTAATATCTTGCGTATGTATCTTATTGTGTGTAATAAAAATTGTCGACAACTAGCTATTTTCCATTGCCAATAAATTGCACGTACTCGAAATAAGGATTGGATCGTCCGATGTAGCCGCGGTGTATATATAGGCAGTTACAGCGCGTCTGCATCAAATTACAGAATCGGCGCCGTGTATGTAGGACAATCGCACGGAGCACAAGTCGTGCAAGATCAACAAGCGATAATCGCACTCGGATTGAAGATTAGACAGCGACAGCGTTGGAAGAAACGCGGGACAATTAACACGGATTTCATTCCGGCACGGCTCTCTTTAATAGGTGGCTCCCGATATGTGATTCCACCGGGTTAATCGCTGACGAACGACGCGAGGAACCACGCGAGGAAAATCAATTATTTCTTCCCGTTCGTGCTTTGCACTTTGCTGGGTTACCAGCGTGAGCTGGACAATAAAGGCGCCTCACAATTTACTATGCCGTCGCATCGCGCAACACAATCTTGGAAACTCTTCCAATCGTGGAAGGAATCGATTACAATGGTCTCGCGTGCGCCGCCTGTATCGCGTTAATGCAACGTTTATTGCATTATTTATGATATACCGTATACGAGTAACGACTGCTATCACGCGGCGATGATTCGCGATGCCGTTGCCGGTGCCCGTCTTGTGTATTACACAGCTCGTTAAATCGGAGGGCTCGAGGGCAATGATGTATTAAGAAAAGCCATAAGCTAAGATATCGCATAGCAGTACTTCTCCTCCGTAGTTCTTTCTTCTCTCTCTCTCTCTCTCTCTCTCTCTCTCTCTTACATTTTGTAATTAATTACTAACGCTTTTTATCCCACGATTCCACGGAATCCGTAAGGAGATTAACCTGTTATTGGAATATTCTTCTTTTTCGCACTGTGCGAACTGTGAAAAGTGACAATTCTCTCCTGACTTTTTTTTTTCACAGTTTAGCGACGTGTCGAACGTTTCTATTTCGTCATGTTTATATACGAATATATGCATGTGTTTGCGCTATGGGACGCACCTGTCGCGCCGACCCCCCGCGAAATTGAAGCGACCGTCGAGCGTCTTCACGGTCGACGGGCATTCTCCGAGAACCAGGTCATACGGAGAAACATCATCTCCCAGACGGGAGACGACCAATTACGAGATGGATGGCTTCGCCGTGCCCTGATTCCCCTCACTACCAACCCAGATGACGATCGGCTCGTAATATTTAACTTGCGAAAGGGCTTCTTCTTGCAATTTCGTTCCGCCACCGCCATCGCCACAAATTAAACTTTTCGTTGTTTACGAAGAATAGACATTATACCGTTCATCATAATAATAATATGAAACAACATTCGGCAAGCTGAGAACAAATTGCGAAACGATAAAAAGTCACGTATATGATGTAATTATTGAATGATTGAATAATTATTTTGTAAAGATATCGATTAATCCGTGTTTGTTTACAGGACGATCGAGTTGGTCGCTTTAGTAGCGATATCCAGTACGCTATTTCTCTTTCTACACACGAGGGATTTACATTCGCGTCTGAAAAAGATGGAAGTGCGCCTTCAACCGGGAGAAGACGATGTGCTCTCGGCGAATCAACTCTCGTCAGGTAACGTACTGTAATACGCGTACTGTCATAAAGTATTGAAACAAATAGCGCGATGTCAAATAGTAAAATCCTTTCTCTCTGTCTCCTTGTAGAAATAAGAAATAGAATGACAGAAGTGTTTGCAAGGAGGAACTAAAAGATAAAATATAAATATAAAAATGAATGGAAAGATGTAACGTACCGAAAGAATGAATTATATGGTTATGCATATCCACTACATGCTCTAAAAAAAATATTATAATTAATTATCTTATTCGAGCTGTTAAGCAATAAACAAATTAACCGTAACGTAAATAAATAATCAAAAACAAAACGTAATATTGCAAAAGAAGTTAGTTTATTTCAAAAGTGACGACAAGATCACTCGAGATCACCGTTAGAAATGTTAATTGGAAAGAACTAATTATCTATTTAATTATACAAACGTTGCCGTAATGGTTGCCGTGAGTTTCTCGTCGTCTGAAAATGGACTACATCGGAATTGCATTCGTGTCGGCCAGCGCGCCATAATAGACACGTTTATACATGCGCTTTTACATTACGCTCATACATATTACTCCCCGGAGGGTGCTGTTGACTTCCCGGTTGAGGAAGGTCAAGGTGTGAGAGAGTGAACGGGGATAAGATACTCAAAGTGAGTTAAAGATGTTCATGCATCTCATACACATACGTCTATTCAGTTGTCAGTTGGACATTTCTCATAGTTCACATCTTTAAATTCAAATCCTTTTAGGTATCAGGCTACTTTATCTTTTTTTTATTATTTATTTATTATTTTACTAAACGATTTGGATATCGTTACATTTGAAAAAGAAATATCTTTCGTTAGCGTACCGATGAGAAGATTCAAATCACAAAAGAAGAAATATTTTCTTATATATACATTTGTATTTTAAGGAAATCAAACGACAGATTTTTCCAAGCAAACTATTCTCGTTACCGATCTTTGTCTTTTCAAGCACGATATATACCCATGTACGGACATTAAGAGAGCAAGATCTCTATCGCTTCAATACCATACTACATCCATTTCGCGGGATTCGCAACGGTAGCACGGAGGCTTCGTTCGCTGGCAATCGCGAGCTAATTATTCGTGCACGTTCCACCGTTCGCTTTACGCACGTAGTAATCCGCGTCTTTGCCGCGTCGTATTATTTATTGCGTTACGGCTTGCAATTATGTCCAGCACCGCTTTATTATTTAAAATGGTGTAGCTATACTGTCTCGCTAAGCGAACGTGAATCGTGCTCGTTCGAGATCGAGAGTGCAAAAGATTATATTTCTGGTACTCGATTTCTTGAAAATGTGACGACTATTTATATATATATATATATATATATATATATATATATATATATATGTATATTAGTTCGCGAGGAGTTTATATCGAGGAAGATAACGTTCGATTCGCGGTCAGGATGAAAGGGTAAAAAGACGATGATACGACAAAAAGACGAGATCATTTGACGCACGAAGTGCAATTGCCCTATGCTTTGAAAAAAAAGTCGTTACGCTACGACATGCTCAATCCGCGAGAAATGACGCTTTTTGCTAATAGCGACAACAATATCGTAGTGAGAAATTTTCTTACTCGGGACTTAGTCGGGTAAGGATATACGGAATACGATTGAACGAAGGCGCATTAGCTTATAGAATATCTCGACGCCATTGTCAAACCACCACGGTCGGCACCACACCCGGCGTGGCGAATAGGAAGAAATAATGATTCGCTGAGATACTTGACGAGATGGCATGAAAATGGATTAACGAGCTGCCTTCCACTTCTTCGCGAGGATACGTTCGCACCTTCGTGGTGCACCCCGGTTCGATGTTATCGTGGCTCGCAACAGCTCGTAATACGTCCGCGAGGAATCCCGCGCGCGATGTCCGGTCCCTTCGCGCGCGAGATCGAGATCGAGAATGATCTATGGATCATTCGCGGAAACAACTTCGGTGATTCGGTAAAAATTTGAAACTACGACACGATCATGAATAATCTTTGTACATATATATATGGTTTGCTTCCTCCTCTCTTATATATTTTTATATGTCTTCGTAATCTTTGAATTAAAAAAATGCAGGAAAATATGTACTATATAATAAAGAATTTAAAATAATGTTAACAATCAAAAAATAATTTTTTTTTAAAAAGTTACAAAAAGAGTTACGTCACAAAAAAATATATATATTCTTCTTATCGAGTCACCATCGAGATTCTTTTCATATTCCGATATCTATTAATTCTTAATAGTTCACATGGTTCTTCATATGATAATCTGTTAATTGTAATGAAGTAATAAATATTATAAATATATTTTCAACAATTAAACTGTTACTTCCTTCCTTATTCGCCATTTTAAAATAGGATTTTGCGAGTATATCTCGTAGCCTACTTTCTCGTTCATGTTCTAACTTAATCACCCCGACGATTCAGCGCAGGATAAACTTGTGCGAGAGGACAAGAAGTTCACATTGAGCATAAGTATGTGCAAATTATATTAATGCAGTTGATAATTTACATTCAACCTCGTTCGTCGTATTTACCCCAGCAATCAGCCAGATGTAAAATGACAATGCGCATGGGTGAAAGTGAAATACTTTTTGTATATACACGGTATGAAGTATGTGTATTTGCTGAAAGCAAAGTAGCTCACGACTTCTTCGGGGGCTGTTGTTATAGTGAAAGTAACACTCTATCGATAAGCAAAAGTGACGTGTCAGAATCGATTAGGTCTGATCGAATGTTCACGTGACAATAAAGTAATACACTTGGAAAATATATATGTCGTTTATCTGTACATCTCTTAATTATCCAAATAATCAATCAAGTGTCAACCAATCAGTAACGGTAATCAATATAAAATAATAAAGTAAAGTATAAGCAATTCCGATAAAAGTCTTCTTTAATTATAATGTTTTTAACTAATTTTAATAAAAGCTCAGGAGGCTGCAAATAACTTGAAAAATTAAAATAAATAAAAATTCTCTCAAAGTTTATTTTTTTCGACCTAAAAAAGATGGTAAAAACCTAACGCGCATTTTGTTTTGTGATGTAAAGATCTCGACGTAAAGAATGGGACAAAATCAGAACAGGAGGAAGTACTCTATAAGGTTACAGTAAATTAAACGCAATTTTGAGAATGACGCTCACCTTTGTTTATCATGTACTTTCTTTCTAACGGTTGTCATACAACGCCATTGTTCTGGCTGCAATTGGTTGGCTAATTTAAAATAGAATAGGAAATGATCTTTACTGTTGTGAAGAAAGGTGTTAGAATATACAATACAATTATATTGTCCACTTGAAGATTGTAGCATACGTCATTCAAATTAATCATGCATAATCATTCGAGCAAGAAAAGATTTTACAATTATTATAATATCTCTATTTCTTCGGATAATTTCATTACATTATAATGAAAATTATGACATAACAACATTATTAAAGCAGAGGGCAAAATGAATGTTGTTCTCTCGTAAAAATCAGCTTGAAAAAAATTTGTAAATTTTTTTACTAATATCTAAATTTTAATACAATTAAAATAAATAATATTTTTTTTTTAATTTTCGTAGAAGAAATATGTTAGAGATAACATACTTTTTATAGATGATCTTGATCAGAAATAATCATATAAATGGTACAAATGGTCTTATATCCTTGTACGGATCAGTAACGATATGTGATGGGTGAAACATCATTCGAAGGAGGCGATGCGAACAGTGTCCGTCTAACCCACTTCAAGTAATTTTCTTCTTGAAACGCATCAACGAGCTGGATCATTTTACGCGTATATAATATACGATCGTGCTAGAGATGTGCTATATACATATTTAAATTTTATAGACGCCTATGACTCTTCCGCGAAAGATCATACCGAAAAGCTGTAATTTCTCCTAGTAATTTAATCAGAATATTATGCTAGAAAAGGATGGAAGTGAAATAAACGCCTCCGAGTAATCATAAAGTAAATTTAATATTTTATTAAATAGTACAACGTAGTTCGTTCTCTATGTTAAGAACGCTAGAAAATTTTCGAGATAAGCTCGTTTTATTTTTTTACTGGTTTAACTTTTATTCAAATTATCACAGCTTTTCCTGTTTTAATGTTGTGAGAAATGCGGTTTTTTTACAACCGCATTATGTTTATTATGTTATAACTACTGTAACTGCAGAGGATGGTTAAGTTAAATAACTCATCTCGTAAATACACGTAATACATATTTCAGATTACTCGCAATTTAATGGCTGCCATAGTATGTAAGTTCCATCTAATCATGTTACACGATAATAAGCCCATAAAAGGAAAAGAAAGCGGACGTTTCTATTTTACTGTATCATTAACACATGAAAATATGCTACAAAGGAGTGATTGTATAAACAAACGATTTTCTACCCATATGATCATCCAACATTATGGAAGTTCTATTTAACATACAGTTAACAATTTCGGTTTCACTTAATAGAATTGTTGATCATAGTGCGCTTTTACTAACAGTGTAATGTTAATCCTTGGCACAACGGTGTGATTTATCGTTCGATACAAGAATGACAGTATTTCGCTAGGCAATTTTTAAGAAGATTGATTCGATTGATTATCAGGCGACGATCAATATACATACCTCTAACACTGATAAGTAAATTTAACTTTCTAAAGATGACTGTCAGGAGCTTATTAAATAAAGCTTATTTTGTGATAAATACTTTTACGTTCTAAAGATAGCATCATACCATAAAATTTAATAACAAGAAATAAAATATGAATTGAACTCTACTTTATGATTTCTCAGAAGCGTTACTATACCGTTATAAAATTCATTGCTCGTTATATATAAGTGAAAGTTGACTTTGATTGTTATTATATTTTCATTAATTAAACTACTACTAATAATTAAACGATAAGTTAAATATAATGTATACATATAATGTATACATTAAACAATTGAATTAAATTTGGTTATTTGTGAATAATCCATTTAAATAATTTAATTATCTATATTAA